CCAAAGCAGGAATCAAAGCCATTGCAGGAGATTATCAGGCTAATAAAGTATACCATAGCTTTATTTATTATATATGATTCTACAGCAGCTGACCGGTCTATACCCCAGACGAGTCTCATCCCACTCCTTTCCATCTAATCCCATTAGCAGATACTTCTGTTTCTTGTTCCCTAATGTCCACATGTAACTTCCCCTTCAATGTATTTATGTTATTTGCCTGAAGTATTCCTTGTGATAGGGTGTTTCTTGACATAGCTATACTTTGAAAGAAAGTGTTTCTCTTGAATTCCCCACTTGACTCGTTAGTGACTGCCTTATACTTTTGGCATCTTGCTTTGCCCCATAAGAAGAAGCACCTTGCACCATCCTTGTGAATTTTCTTTGCACTTTTGCCAATGCCACTATATCCTTTTCTAATATGATGGCCAGAACTGTTCATAGCTCTCCAGTGTTGTCCAAATAAGGTTCAATTCAGGTTTAACATCACATCCCCACTTTTAAATTAGAGTCAGCATGGAAACAGACCAGTCGGTCCAACTCATTCATGCTGAACAGATATCCTAAACTAATCTAGTCCCATTTGCCAGCATTGGGCCCATATCCCTCTAAACCCTTCTTATTCACATACCCATCTAGATGCCTTTTAAATGTTGCAATTGTACCAGCCTCCACCACTTACTCTAGCAACTCATTCCATTCATGTGATACCCTCTGCGTGAAAAAGTTGCCCCTTAGGTCACTTTTAAAGCTGTCCCCTCTCACCTTAAACCTAAGCCCTCTAATTTGGACTCCCCCACCCTGGGGAAAAGCCCTTGTCTATTCACCCTATCCATGCCCTTCATGATTTTATAAACATCTATAAGTTCACCACTCGGTCTCCAATGCTTCAGGGAAAATAGCCCCAGCCTATTCAGCCTCTCCCTGTAGCTCAAACCCTCCAACCCTGGCAACATCCTTGTAAATCTTTTTTGAATCTTTTCAAGTTTCACAATATCCTTCCTATAGCAGGGAGACCAGAATTGCACACAATATTCCAAAAGTGGTCTAACCGATGTCCCGTATAGCTGCAATATAATCTCCCAACTCCCATACTCAATGCACTGACCAATAAAGGCAAGTGTACCAAACACCTTCTTCACTATCCTATCCACCTGCGACTCCACTTCCAAGAAACTATGAACCTGCACTCAAAGGTCCCTTTGTTCAGCAACACTCCCCAGAAACTTACCGTTAAGCATACAAGTCCTGCTATGATTCGCCTTTTCAAAATGCAGCACCTCACATTTATCTAAATTAAACTCCATCTGCCACTCGATCAGCCCATTGGCCCATCTGATCAAGATCCCATTGTATGCTGAGGTAATCTTCTTCACTGTCCATTACACCTCCAATTTTGGTGTTACCTGCAAAGGGGTCAGTTAGTTCAAATGGCTGGCTGGCTGGTTTGTAACACAGATACCAACAGCATGGGTTCAATTCCCATACCAGCTGAGATCACTGTGAAAGTCTCAGTTTCTGTGGTGCAACTGGTTAGGGTGTTCAGCTGTTAACCAAAAGGATGGTGGTTCAAGGCCACCTGGGAACAAAGTGATTGCTGTTTTCACTCCATCAGTTTTGGAGTGGCACAGTGGCTCATTGGTTAGCACTGCTGCCTCATAGCACTGGAGACCTGGGTTCAATTCCACTCTCCGGTGACTGTGTGGAGTTTGCATGTTCTCCCCGTGTTTGTGTGCGTTTCCTCCATGTGCTCCAGTTTTCTCCCACAGTCTAAAGATGCTCAGGTTAGGTAGATTGGCCATGCTAAATTGCCTGTAGTGTTCAGGGATGTATAGATTAGGTGGATTATAGGGGGATGGGTCTAGGTGGGATGCTCTGAGGGTCAGTGTGGACTTGTTGGGCCTGAAGGGCCTGTTTCCACACTGTAGTGATTCTATGATTCTATTCTATGAACTTACTAACCATACGTCCTATGTTCACATCCAAATCATTTACATAAATGATGATAAGCAGTGGACCCAGCACTGATCCTTGTGGCACACCTCTGGTCACCAGCCTCCAGTCTGAAAAGCAACCCTCCACCACCACCCTCAGCCTACTACCTTTGAGCCAGTTCTGTATCTAAATAGCTAATTCTCATTGTATTCCAAGTGATTTAATCTTGTTAACTAGTCTACCATGAGGAACCTTGTTGAATGCCTTACTGAAGTCCATACAGATCACATCCACTGCTCTGCCCTCATCAATCCTCTTTGATACTTCTTCAAAAAAATTAATCAAGTTAGTCAGACATGATTTCCCATGCACAAAGCCATGATGACTATCCTTAGTCAATCCTTGCCTTTCCAAATACATGTAAATCCTGTTCCTCAGGATTCTCTCCAACAAATTGTCTACCACCAATGTCAGGCTCTCCAGTTTATAGTCCTCTGGCTTTTCCTTACCAACTCTCTTAAATCGTGGCACCATTGTTAGCCACCCTCCAGTCTTCTGGCACCTCACATGTGGCTATCGATGATACAAATATCTCACCTGATCAGGTCCTGGGGATTTATCCACCTTTATACATTTTAAGCCATCCAACACCTCGTCCTCTGTAATATGGACATTTTAAAAGATGTCACTTTTTATTTCCCCATGTTCTATATCTTCCATATTTTCCTTTACTGATGCAAAATACTTGTTAATATCTCTCCCATTTCCTGTGGCTCCACACATAGATGGCCTTGCTGATCATTAAGGGGCCTTATTGTCTACCTAGTTACCCTTTTGTCCTAAATATATTTATAAAATACCTTTGGATTCTCTTTAGCCCTATTTGCCAAAGCTATCTCATGTCCCCTTTTAGCCCTCCTGATGTCCCTCTTAAGTATACTCCTACTGCCTTTATACTCTTCTGAGGATTCACTCGTTCTCTGTTGTCTATACTTGACATATGCTTCCTTGTTTTTCTTGACCAAAACCTCAATTTGTCTAGTCATCCAGAATTTCCCACACCTACCAGCCTTGCCCTTCGCCCTAACAGGAACATACTGTCTCTGGACACTCGTTATCCCATTTTTGAAGACTTCCCATTTTCCAGCCATCCCTTTCCCTGCAAACATCCATCCTAATCAACTTTTGAAAGTTCCTGTCTAATACCGCCAACATTGGCCTTCCTCCAATTTAGAATTTTAACTTCTAGGTCTGGTCTATCCTTTTCCATCACTATTTTAAAACTAACAGAATTATGGTCACTGGCCCCAAAGTGCTCCCCTACTGATACCTCAGTCACCTGCCCTGCCTTATTTCCCAAAAGTAGGTCATGTTTTGCACCTTCTCTAGCAGGTACATCCAGGTACTGAATCAGAAAATTTTCTTGTACATATTTAACAAATTCCTTTCCATCAAAGCCCTTTAACACTATGTAGTCCTAACACGCTGGCAGTCTCAGTCCATGTTTGGAAATTTAAAATCTCCTACCATAACTACTCTATTATTCTTACAGATAACTGAGATGTCCTTACAAACTTATTTCTCAATTTCCCACTGACTATTGGGGGATCTATATTACAATTCCAGTAAGATGATCATCCCTTTCTTATTTCTCAGTTCCACCAAATAACTTCCCTGGACTTATTCCCAGGAATATTCTCCCTAAGTACAGCTGTAATGTTATCCCTAATCAAAAACGCCACTCCCCCTCCCCTCTTGCCCTCCTTTCTATCCTTCCGATAGCATCTATACCCTGGAACGTTAAGCTGCCAGTCCTGTCCATCCCTGAGCCATATGTCGGTAATTGCTATGATATCCCAGTCCCATGTTCCCAACCATGCCCTGAATTCATCTGTCTTACCTGTCAGGCCTCTTGCATTGAAATAAATGTGGCTTAATTTATCAGTCCTACCTTGTTCTTTGCTATGTTCCTGCCTGCCCTGGCTGTTTGACTTGCTCCTTTTCCCAACTGTACCAGTGTCCTGGCCGATCTCTTTCCTCACTATCTCTCTGGGTCCCACCCTCCCCACCTTACTAGTTTAAATCCTCCCCAGCAGCTCTAGCCAATTTCCCTGCCAGTATATTAGTCCCCTTCCAATTCAGGTGCAATCCATCCTTCTGTAGAAGAGATTCTACAGAAGAGATTCCAATGATCCAAAAATGTGAATCCTTCTTCCTAAAACCAGTTCCTCAGCCACACATTCACCTGCTCTATCCTTCTATTCCTACCCTCACTAGCTAGTAATCCAGACATTACTATTCTCGAGGACCTACTTTTTAAATCCCTGCCAAACTTCCCATATTCACTCCTTAGAATCTCATCATTTTCTCTTCCTATATCGTTAGTTCCATCAACCTCCTGTTGGTCTCTCTCCCCTTTGACAATATTCTGCACCCTCTCCGAGATATCTTGATCCTGGCACCAGGGAGGCAACACACCATTCTGATTTCTCATTGTCGGCCGCAGAAACATCTGTCTGTGTCTCTGACTAGAGAATCCCCTATCACAATTGATTGCATAGAACCTGATGTACCCATCGTTACATTAGAGCAAGTCTCAGTAACAGAAATATACCAGAAATATATACCGTGCTACATTCCCCTGAGAGTCCATCACCCTTACGTTTGCCAAAACAGCATACTTGACTGAGATGGGGATATCCACAGGAGATTCCTACATGGCCTGCCTCCCTCCCCTACCTTTCCTGGAGGTAACCCATCTACCTGAATGTACCTGCAGTTTTTTCCTACAACTGTAATCCATCTGGAATTGGAGCCTTAAACTTGGTTTGCATTTTGTTTTAATGGACTTATTAACCTCCACTGCTGGATATATTGCTTCATAAATATTTATCTTTGGATCCCTTTGCTCCCCTATCACATTTAGACTTATTTTTGGTGCCCTCAATGCTCTTACCCCCAAAATGTCTCCCCTTGTACTTATCAAATTCATTTGCAAAACAGGTGTTCATTCTGCAAGCATATTTAGAGTCTTCTTGCATTTGGACAGAGTTTTGAAGCCATTTTACCTGAAAAAGGCCATGAAGGAGAAGCCGTAACCATGTTGTTCTGCTATTCCTGCACATACCACGTTAGTGGAAGCACCAATCAATGTTCCATTGCCTGGAAGGTGGAAGGGAAATTACACAAAGTTTAGAATAAAATGATATCAGTATCAATGATCATGACAAAGCCAAACCCAAGAATAATGCAGGAACCTAAAAAGCTGGACAATGTAAAGTAGACTTAAAAATAAATGCAATTTGAACTTCATGTAAGAAATGCAAGCTTTGTAAATGACGGTTTGGATGAATTTGGCCAAATGATATATATTCAAACACAAAACTAAAAAGTGACAAGGAAAAGTGTCCACTATAATGTCATAATCTCTCACAAACTGGCTCTGACTAGTTGGTAGCATTCTTCCTCCCAACTGAGAATGCTGTGTTTTAAAGATCGAAGTTGAAACAAAGTTGAGCTGATAGCAACTATTTATTTTTAGTTCATTGGCTGGTGACAGAAATTGGACTTTCAAGGAGACAGATTATTTTTTAAACAGAATATAAACAATTTAACCTACATCAACATAGCCATGTTAATTGTTATATATGTGTATGTGCAATGTTCCAACCCTGTTGGGAGGAGAAGGAATATCTGCAAAAACTTACCAAAGATAATACACACGCGCACACACACACACACACACGCACACACTCATACATACACACACATGTGCACACACACATGCACACGCATACGGACATGTACCATGAAGGACCACCTATCCTGCTCTGCTGACAATGTTACTATGGAAATCACCTATAGTATTTAATAAGGGAAAACTAATGGAGGAGGTGATGGCCTACTGGTATTATTGCTGGACTATTAATCCAAAGACCCAGGTTCAAATCCTGCTATAGCAGATGGTGGAATTTGAACCTAATAAATATCTGGAATTAAGAATTGAATAAAAGCCACAAAACCATTTCTGATTGTCAGGAAAACAACCAAGTGGTTCACTAATCCCCTTTATGGGAGGGAACTGCCAATAGCCTACATGTGAACCCCAACCAACAGCAATGTGGTTGGCACTTAAATGCCCTTTGGGCAATAAATGCTGGCTGAACCAGCAATACCCACATCCCATGAATGAACAAATTTAAGAAAAAACAGACCTTTCAAACTTTAACTGCTTGGGCAATGAGAACTTGAGTTTCATAATAGCTCTCCAGATGAGCTAATTAAATTCTACTTGGAACATACAATTACATTTGAATTACTGGCAGTTTGAGCTAGAGATCACATCAAGCAAAAGTCCTTTGAGCTTTTAAGCACATGTTTGCCCTTGCCTGTGATAGAACTGGTTCAGGTGCTGAGAAGCAAAGTGATGTCCCTTTGGACTCTGGCTCTCTCTCTCGCTCTTGCTCTCTCTCCGTCTCTCACTTTCACTCTCTCAGTCTCTCACTTTCACACTCTCTCTCTCTCACTCTCACTCTCTCACCCTCTCACTACAGCCAACTTCTGATATTGGACCATGCCCACCAATGTTGACTCTTTCTATGTACTACAGGCAGAGAATTTACAGAAAGAATTCAACTCCGTAGCTGTCTTTCCTGAGGAAAAAGCAACTCTGGCATGTATCCCTTCAAATCAAAAGCTTCAATACCATTGAATTCAGCCTAAGGCCATCCAATTGCACCAAACCATGGACTGTCTACTCTCTCTACCATTCTTTTAAATGGGCTATACTTTGGTGAATCTATTGTCTCCTACTCTGTTATCTATATTTGTGTTTGTGAACTGCCACTGTGTGCATGAATGTCACGTCTTATTTTACTTTTTAATTTGGATCAGATTAAGTACAAACAAACTGACCTCTTACTTTGTTTTATCTTAAGAAAATTTGTCTAATTTAACTTTTATGATTACAGAAGAGTAAACAATTAAGCGTACACTAAATTCCAAAGGATATCTTTACCCAAAGTTAGAAATGTGTTTTTTCAAAATTCATTCACAGGATGAGGCCATCACTAACCAGGCAGCATTTATTGCCCATCCCTAATTGCCCCGAGGGCAGTTCAGAGTCAACCATGTTGCTGTGAGTCTGGAGTCACATGTAGGCCAGACCAGTTAAGGATAGAAGTTTCCCTTCCCTCAAGGGCATGAGTGAAACAAATGCATTTTTCCAACAATCAACAAAGGATTCATGGTCATCATTAGAATCTTAATTTCAGATGTTTTCATTGAATTAAAATTTCACCATCTGCCATGGCAGGATTTGAACACAGGTCCCCAAACCATTATCTGGGCCCTTGGATTAACAGTCCAGTGATAATTCCACCAGGCCATCGCTTCCCCACATATTGCAGTTGAACAAGGACAGGAGGAAAGGGGAACCCTTTGACATTTCCACCTGGTTGCAACAGCTCCAAGATTTGAGCACATGATTGAGGCTAATACTTCTAAGGTTTCTCCTGACATTACAAAACAGCTAGAGACAGCTGAAGGTTCTTCATTATAGTTATCATGCAACCCAAGCCACTTCATCTTCTCCACCAGCTCAAAATCTCAACTTACCTGTAGACCTTAGCACAGGCTGAAATTGATTAGGGCTCCAGGCATGGGAGCTGCATTGGAACATAAGATTCAGTCCTACTGCTTGTGGACCTTTCCATTGTCATGGGCAACTAGGGATGGACAATAAATGCTGACACAGCTAGTGATGCCCATATCCCATGACTGAACTGAAAAAAGATGACAAAGTTCAATCTGGTGTGGTATCCTGATTACATTCAGTTGTGCTACAAGTGCCTCCTGGTTTGGGGAACAACTGAATTTAGAATTCTGCTCGCATTGTAAGTTAGATCGAACCCTGACCTCGTACGACTTTTGTTGGGAAGTAAACTTCTGCTATCCTCAACAAAATTCACACCAACAAAAGCAGATGAATTAATCATTCAGTGTATTTATTACTTGTGAGAACCTGAATTAGTTACTGAATTTCATTGCGTTGAAATAGGGCCTAACTTCCAAAAGGATTTATTTGTCTGCAAAGTGTTTTCGGATGTCCTGGGAACATAAAACACAGCACTCTGGTGCAAAGGAGTACGAACATAAGAACGAGGAACAGGAGTAGACAATTCAGCGTCTTGAGCCTGGTTCACCATTTGATACAATCATGGTTTTTCCTGCCCACTTCCCATAACCTTTCAGCCCATTTCCAATTAAAAAAGCTTTCTCCTCCTTAAATTTACGCAATCTCCCAGCAACGACCACACTTTGGGGGTAGTAAATTCCACAGACTCATGACCCTTTGAGAAAAGGAATTTCTACTCATTTCTGTCTTAAATCTGCTACTCCTTATCCGAAAACTATAATCTTTCATTCTAGATGTTTCAATAATGTCAAGTCATGCCTGTAAGTTTGCTACATGCCGGACATATTGATAAATCTTGCCGATTTGAAAATCTGAAATAAAAACAAGAAATAGTGTTGATATGTTAATACCCAGAACAAAAGTAATATGCTTCATCTGAAATGGCAAACTCTCTGGGGCTGTCTTCAGTGGGAGGTATGGGCCTCAAAATAGGGTTAGTTGTTTTCCCACTCCCGTAATTTGCGCTCAACACTTTAAAAATGGTCTCATATCAGAGTTCTGAAATAATAGGCTCCTGTGAATATGGAATTAGACCCTTACCAAAATCTAACCAGAAGCTGGTGTTGGTGGGTGGAAGGATATGTGTTGCCCATGATGCAAAATTCACCCATTTTTCTCCAGATAGTGCTGTAGTACTTTATGTATCAAGCTGAGCAAGTGAACAGGGCCTCAATTAGAAATATAGAACAGAAAATAGGAGCAGGACGAGCCCATTCAATATGATCAAGGCTAATCATCATTTGTTTTCTGTTTCTGTTTTTCTTTCCACCCTTTTGATCACTTTAGCTCTCAGGACTATATCTAACTCCTTCTCAAAAACACTTATTATTTCAGCCTCACCCACTTCCTGTGTCAGAAAATTTCACAGCTTCATCCCTCTCTGGGTGAAGAAATTTCACCTCATTTCAGTCCTAAATGGCCTATCACATATCCTTAGACTATGACCCCTTGTTCAGGACTCCCTGGTTACCGGGAACACCTTTCCTATGCCTACCCTGTCTAGTCTTGTTAGAATTTTCTAGGTTTAATTCTTCTGAATTCCAGTGGAGGTGGTCGTATGCGATCTAAGCTTTCTTCATACGCCAGTCCTGCCTTCACAGGAATCTGTCTGGTAAATCTTTTCTGCACCCCCCTCCTTAGCCAGAACATCCTTCCTCAAATAAGGAGGCCCAAACTGCACACAATACTCCAGGTGTGCTCTCACCAAGGCCCTGGGCAATTGCAGCAAGACATCCCTGCTCCTGGACTCAAAACCTCTCACTATGAAGACCAACATACCATTTGCCTTCTTCGCTACCTGCTGCACCCGTGTGCTTACATCCAGCGACCGGTGTAAAAGGACACCCAGCTCTGTTACACTTCAATTAATGAGCATTTATTTCACAAGACAGTACCCCCACTGGTACAGCACTTTCTCAGAACTGCAGTGAAATAGCAGCCTTGATTGTGTAAAAGATGCTGATAATTCAGTGAAGTGAATGGATTGCTAAATCAGCCCCAGCATACTGTTGATAAACTGCCAATATATTTTGAGAGCTGTCAATTAACATGCTTACTATAGATTGGTGTCTAAATTCACAAACGTTGCTGGATGAATCTATATTGGATTCTATATTCCTCCCCGTGCTATCTTATCAGGGCAGTTAATCTAATTATGTTAAGTAATGCCTCTATTAAAATAGAGAGGAAGAGGAAGTTGACACAAGTAGCTATTTTTTATTCATACAATAATGTCTTTTACGACAATTTCCACAGAGATATCTAATAGTGCCATTTCAATTTTAAACTGGGCACTCAATCACGCATTCCACACATTTCAATTTCATCTTCAGCCCCAAGTTTGTGTGTTTCTCAGTGATGCTTATAAAATAAATGGTACACTGTCAGTTGCAATTTCCTGTCATCCTGTCCAATTAACAACAGATTTTTCATTGCTCAGCGAATTCAAACTGGGCACTCATTTTCC